GAATGTGACATTGAGTATTACATTATACATACAACCAACTTCATTTCAAATTATCAATTAATTCAACTGGCTTGGTGATAGATACCCTTGCTCACAACGTCAAGCTCCGGACTATACTCAACTATGAACCCTGCAAAAATCAAAAGTTCTCCAAAAAGCCGATGTAGTATGCAAATTTCGCTTCAAAGAAGCTTGTAAACTTTTTCAGCATTTTGACTGCTTTGGAGTAATTGGACTAACAACTACGTCATCTAGACTGACTCACCTGCCACCATCAGTCTGGAGCTCAGATGAACCACCTGTGGCAAGCTCTCAAGACCGTCGCTTGCACTAACGATTTCTTGGAGATCCTTCGCAATCGCTGCCCATCTGGTCTGCTCGCTTTACTTGACGTCAATAGCTTAGTCACCAACGTCCCAACTGAAAAATCTTTAAAAATAATAGCCCAACATGTCTACTCAAATGAAACTTGGCCGGCCTCATCAATTCCTAAAAATATTTTACTTGATCTTCTCTGCCTCTGTACTTCAGGGTTGCATTTCCTCACCCAAATAACAAAATAGATCGGCAAATTAACAGTGTAGCCACATAGGCAATCCTCTTGGTCTAACATTCGTCGAATTCTACATTTGCGAACTCGAAAACCGTGTATTGTTGGATGCACAAATTAAACCTGACCTTTACTGTCGATATGGCGGCGACATCTTCGTCATCGTTCGGGACGAAAATCACATGATGGAGCTGCGCGCGGCATTAGAATGCAATTCCGTTTTGACGATCATTCACGTATTTGGACAAAATCGCACGTTGCCTTTTCTGGACTGTTGGAAATTTCCGACGTTCTTAAATTTTAACATCTTTGATTCTTTTTCTTCATGCCTATTGTTGGGTATGGATTTGTAACTAGAGTGGTTGGCTTTGTAATTTGAAGGTGAAAGTACCTATCTTCTTGGACGCGCTGCGGCAGTCTGTAATTAACGCCAAACCTTCTTAATTCTATTTTTGTTTTGAGTGATCTCAGTTTTCATTATGTTTATTTACGTTAAAATGCATGTTCGCTCTTGCTTTATTTAGGAGGCAGACTCCGACCTAAACTTGGGCATTTGCCCTCTACTGTGGTATAACCACCTTGGTCTTAGGCTTGTAATGAACTTGAAATTTAATTCTTATCTCTATGTATATTTAATCCTACCTTGATTGAAGAACATAGTTCTTCTAACTGTTGAATTCATGAATGCTTCGGAGTCTGCCTCTCCTTCTACTATCATAACTTTCCCTGTATATGGCCTCTTATTTGCCTCTTAAAATTGTCTACCGCTTAGTCGCAAAAGATTTTAAGGTGGGTTCAAGAGGTTGCAATAAACTTGCGAAACATTGCGATATCAATTGAACATTGCTCAATATCATTGTTACTCGATTGTTTACACGAGTTTCTCATTATATGGTATCTTTCTTCCCATAGAATAACTATTACTCTGGTGGTGTCGGTCTGCGTCCTTTTTTTGGCTCGAGACCGCAACAACTTGAATATATTTTCGCTACTTACCTGTTTGAGGTGTGTGGTTAATTGCATTATTATTTGTTGAGTGTCTATTATTGAAATATCGGACAGCCATATGAATTGACTTTCAATAGCTAGAATCTAAAGACTTTGTTGATTTACTTTACAGTTATGTTGGGTTGAGTATTCGTCTGTTACGACGAACCAGTACAAAGTCGACTAAGCTGTTTGACCTGGTAAACGGACCGATTGTCAACAAGCTTCACTAGAATCTGAGACAAGTGGATCTGAGAATTCGTTCGCTAAATAAAATTTCTTCTTAGAAAACCTTTGTTTCTAAACCTAACAGGACATACTGGTGCAAGACGATAATAATTCGTTCTTTACTAAAGTTTATCGGAATACTACAGACGTCGGAAAGGTCCTGAACCAAGAAAGTGAATGTCCCCAGCTGGAGCTACAAAATCAGCACCATAAATGGAAAAACCAAATAACCAAAAACCAAACCTTGGTCCTGAACCAAGAAAGTGAATGTCCCCAGAGCTACAAAATCAGCACCATTCAAATGAAAAGCGGTCATAGGCCTGACGAAAGAGCCCTCAATTCAATTGTGCAAAATAACATCAGCTGCTCAACAGTAAATGACCGAATTCAACTTTTGATTTACTACAGAAATAAAAATATCAAGACATTTACAAATTTTCCTGCTTGAAAGTAGGTTGTAGGCATCTGCAAAATGAAAATTGCATCCGTTTGACCAGCACGACATTGAGCCGCAGGCTCACATGCCATATGCAAGCTGGAGGACAAAATAATCATATGCGGGAGGCCCACAACGAGACCATCACCCGTGCTACGTTGGAGGCCTGCACCGCTATCGTCATTCAGTGCCCCGGTGCTACGAGACAGTTGATAGTGGAGGCTCTTCATCAATGAACGTCTCCTGCTATCAACTTACAAACCGCCGGATTCATTAGGACGTTGAAATTATTCTCGGATTAATTTGATTTTCGATTTTAAACCGTATCAACTATACTATTTGTATGAACTTATGGGGAGCGCAGCCGTGCATCACCAATTTTGTACGCCAATAAGCCCTGAATCGAACGCCTTGGATCTCTCCGGACATCCACCAATCAGCCGTGAACCACTCGGCTTTGTCTTCCTCCGGCCTCGCTTAGAACCTGCCGTGCACCACCAGACCGCGGATCGAATCTGACTTACGGGCATTGTTAAAATACGTAATTTTACGTTCACAGCATCAGAGCCTCAGAGGTTAGGTTTCAGATAGCATAATTCTATTCCAAAATTTATCGTCCTGCGACAAGTGGCCGTTCGACCGAGGGCTGGTTCGACCCACGGCCTAGATACGGACGGCTTGAAGTGTTGGCTACGTGAAGGCTACGTTCCGGGAGGCAGGAATCATGATGGTCCATTACATCCAGGGCAGTGGTGGTCTTCGGCAGACGACCCAACTTATGTCATGTCCAAATTCCAATTTTAAGCCTTGTAATAACTCTTCATTCGATTGATANAAAATTTATCGTCCTTCGACAAGTGGCCGTTCGACCGAGGGCTGGTTCGACCCACGGCCTAGATACGGACGGCTTGAAGTGTTTGCTACGTGAAGGCTACGTTCCGGGAGGCAGGAATCATGATGGTCCATTACATCCAGGGCAGTGGTGGTCTTCGGCAGGCGACCCAACTTATGTCATGTCCAAATATAAATTTTAAGCCTTGTAATAACTCTTCATTTGCTTGATAATGAATATTGATATATTCAAAACGAAGCATTCTAGTAAAATGTCATTAAGTAATCTGCTTTTTGATCTCCAAGCAACTGCAAGAAATTTCGTTCGGCGTATAAAAAAAAAACAATAAGAAAATTCTTGATAAAAAGTACGCTCTGGTCTTCGATCAAACTTGTGTAAAACTATAAATATGAATATCTTTACTCACCTTCAAACCGTGGTTGAACTATATACTAGTTTAACCATGCCTTCAAACCGTCATCAATCAATCTAACTATTTTTACATGTTAGACTGCTTATACAAGTCTCCGAGGCTACAGCGTTGCCAGATGGTTTATTTCTATACCAGATTTCACAAATCTGGTATTTTCAGATGTCTGGTATAAAAATTTTAGACATGGTATTTTCTGACTTACTGCAAATTTACTGCACCAAGTTCCACCTCTGAAATTTGAAATTCCTCCAGCGTAGGCGTGGATTATATAGACTACCTTCAGAGTTCAGAGCGGCGCGACTATAGGTTTCCCGCCATTTTTGGAACCGCAGGTTTACCGCTTGATGAAATAACCCCAATCTAAATGTTAACATTTAACAAAAGTGCTAAGTGCGGGTCGCCTGCCGAAGACCATCACTGCCCTCGATGTAATGGACGATCACGATTCCTGCCTGCCGGTGCCGGAACGTAGCATTCAACACTTCTGGACAATCGTATCTAGGCCGTGCGTCGAACCAGCCCTTGGTCGAACGGCCACTCGTCAAAAGACGATACATTTTGGAAAGGAACTAAGCTATCTGAAACCTAACCTCAGATGCGGTGAACGTAAAATTACGTAATATAACTGTGCCCGGAATTCATATTCCCTCTGCGGCCTGGTGGTGCACGGCAGGTTCTATGCAAGGCCGGAGGACAAAACCGAGTGGTTCACGGCTGATTGGTGGATGTCCGGAGAGATCCAAGGCGTTCGATTCAGAGCTTATTGGTGCACAAAATTGGTGGTTTACCGCTGCGTTCCCCTAAGTGCAATATAAGCACGTGAGTGATGATACGTATTGACAGTGATGATATGGCCTAGGACGAGTGATGTTGTTGAACCGATCTCTGCGACGCAAGCGCTACCATTTTTGCTTTGTGGTATTGAATTCTAGAGTGCCACTTATTGGAGTGCTAACTGAATTCTGTGGTGCCATTCAATATTTCACTGATCTTAAAAATCATCATCCATTCATAGAACTGGCTGCCTACTGCATCAATTGTATACTTTGACCAAATGTACTTTGACCTGTCTCTAATGCATTCGTGGAGCGAGTGTTTTCACAAGTCACCTATGTGAAAAACAAGCAACGAAATAAATTTTTAACTAAGATCCTGGAATCTGTTATTCGGACCAAAAGCTATCTGAAAAACAGCAACAAGTGATCACACCCGAAATGTTAGATAAATGCAATATGCAAGTGTGTGCGAAAATAAGGAAATAAGCAAAAGGAAGATGACCTGTTTCCGTCACTTGCTCATGTTAAGCGAAGGGGAAGAAGTGCCACACTGTGATGAAAAAAAAGAAAATGTGTCAATTGAATCAGACACAGGAAAAGTAAAATGTTCCAAACAGAGGGAAAAAATATAATGCGTTCAATTTGGCTAGTTATCGTCAAGCCAGATAAATGCACAGTACCTAAGATAATTTTTTTTCTTTTCTCCTAACCAACGTTTCTGACGAATAATTTCATAAAATTTGGTGGTATTAGTCTGTTTTTGAACAATAGAATTTCTGGTATTCTGAGCTGGGCAATCTAGTATTCTCGCTAAGAAAAAAGCTGGCAACACTGCTCCGAGACTCCAGTTCAGTCCAGTGACCAGTCCAGTGCTGAAGCCAATCTATACACACACACTGACTCTGAGTCTCTGACTCTGAGACACCAACCAAGTGAGCATAGATAATAAACAAGAGATTTTTCTTATTTCCTTATCTACTCATTTTTTTTTGAAAAATTTCTTATGAATGATAATGCTTATGTTTTGGTACGTTGCCCAAATCCTAGATTGTTAGCATGGTCAGATCGTCAAAACTCGGAAGGCATTTACGGTACTACCTACCTCTGCTACCTGTAGTTGTATAGTATATTATAATAGTAGTACCGTACGTCCGTACCTCAGATTTGTTATAGAATTGTTTAGTTGTCTCATGTTTGAATGATATTTTTTATTTTTCTTTTATATAGTGGATTTTTTGAAAAATTTTCAGGCCCTTTGTTATAATGAATGATTAAGTTTAAGTTAAGTAGGTACCGTAAAATGGGGTTACTTAGACTACCGGGGTAACTTAAACCACTTTTAGTTTTTTTAACAAAAACCCCCTAAACTCAAAAACTATTTGACATAGAAAAATTTTGTCAATGGGCAGGCATCAAAGGCCTATTACTGAGGCTACGTAACACAATGGAAAGATTTAAAAAGTTTGCATACCTATCTAATATTAATAGGTTAAAACATTAAAAATGTGCCCACAAAAAAAAAACTATTATTTGAACCTGTCAGAGTGCCCCTCCAATTTTTTTATTTTTTGGTAAATTAATTCCAGGTTTTGATGCATTGTAGTAGAACTCTTCTAGTTACATATGCAAATCATGCAAATATCAAATTTGAGGCTGAGGGAAGTGTCATAGTTTGCAAATGGGGGCGCTGCCCCCGAGTGGGGGAACTTAGACCACCTAATGTCAGCCCTGGTGGGGTAACATAGACCAGCTTGGAAATTAATTTAAAATTACCATATATAACATATTTTATGTTTAATACCATTACACCTATTGATGGTTTTTCTTTATATTAAAGACTACAGAGTCTTATATATGGTAATTTCAACTTAATTTCCAAGCCGGTCAATGTTGCCCCATCACGGCTGACATTAAGTGGTCTAAGTTCCCCCATTCAGGGGCAGCACCCCAGCACCCCCCATTTGCAAACTATGACAATTTCCTCAAATTTGTCATTTGCATATGTAACTAGAAAAGTTTTGGGCAACAATGCACCAAAACCTGGAGTTATTTTACCAATAAATATAATTGATTTTACCACCCAGTCTACGATACCCCAAGAGCTGGGGTAACAAGGACCATCACTTTTTTTGAAATTACATTAAAACTATGAGAGGCAGGAGCCAGCAATTAATGGTGAGTGAACCTAGAGTATAGACCTGAATTTTGCATGTTTCAATTTAAGTTTAATTTAGCTAGTAAAAAAAGGCATCATTTAAAAGAAAAGTAGTCTAAGCTACCCCATTTTATGGTAGGTAATAAGTACTTATTAAGTCAAGTTAGTTTAAGTATTAATTTAATCAGTACTGTAGTACAGCAATCCCTTGATTAACGCGGTTAATAAATCCCCGAGTTTTACCGTGTTAAGCAAAACCGCGCTAATCAAACTTAAGAATATATGGGAATAATTATAATGAATCCTCAAAAATAGCAAAGGAAAGGAAAATTATGTAGTTTGTTTTGATAAAAGTGAGCAGTAGATATGGCAGCGATCTTGACCAGTTGAAGGCTAACGAGTAACTAGCCCTTTACGCACTGAATTATGTTTCGAAAGTGAAAAAACAATCTGAATTACATTTCAGATCATGCGCAGTCTTTGTGTTGTACTGGCAGTAGCGGCGCACCTACTCCATATCGAATGTCGTTCGAACGAGTTCACAACATGTGACGCTACCGTCACACTTGCGGCTAGACTCCAAACATGTAATTACTCTCGGTAGAAGCTTTTATTTTCTGTGTGACGAATTCGTCACACCAGGGCTTAAAGGGCTAGAGCACCGGCATGGCGCACTTACCGGCAAACGTTGCCGAACTCGATCATTCAAGTTATGAACGAGACAAGGCGCGGTTAAACCGACTCTGTAGTCAGCACGAGTGCCTACGGAACGGGACCTTATTTAAAGAATTATTGTCTGAAATTCATAAAGTAACAACATTTGGCGAATTTTTCCAAAAGTCGTAACAAAAGTAACAACATAGGATCTAATAAGCAAAAAGTAACACTTTTGTTACGAACGTAACACCTCTGGCTAGAGGCGGGAAAATGATGCGTTGTGAAAAAAAAAGTCACGCTAATCAAAACTGGCACCGCGTAGATTAAGGGTAGGTTGCAAATTTTTTTTCCGCGTTAATCAAAACCGCGGTATTCAAAACCGTGCTAATCAAGGGATTGCTGTACCATCAAACAGTTTAATAAGAGATGGGCGGAGTAAATCGGGACAGTTGTTCCACACTTCTTAGAAATGTTGAAGTAGTTGAACTTATCAAAGTATTGCAAAACTAAAAATAGTGGCATAAAGTTCAACATTTTTACTATCTATGCAGCATTAAGTAAGTCAACTACCTATAAAAAATCCCTGCAACTGTGAAAAGTGAGATTGTGGAAATGTACCTCTGCTAAGATCTGTAGGAAAAAAATATTTGCCATATAAAAAAATTTTACTTGCATAAAAGTTGCGCACAGGGGTTGGCTTAAAAAGGTGATTGACAGAATTCTCATATCACATTCCAAAAAAATGGTGGCCTTTTCTGCAGGGCGGGGTAATAAGGAACACCCCCCTGGCCCAGGGTAATAAGGGACATCCCTAAAGAGGAATTTACAGAAGGATATTGATTAGCAAAGGCTCCAGTAATTAAAAAAAAAATTAGCAACAAAACTTTTTGTTACATTTACCTCACTCAGCAGTCAGCAAAAAAATGTTCACTTAACAAAAAATAAAAAAAAAATTAATGCATAAACAGTGATCACAAAATTGTGCAGAGAATGTTATAGATATAATCGTGCACCAGGCAACATAAAATGAAAAGAAATTAACCTAAACTATGATTTATTTCTCCAAACAATAGGATGGCTGTCATTAGAAATTTCCTTTGTTTCAGGTATGTTTTTATGATCTTTTTTGTTATAGTGAAAATTCACTTTACCCAATTAAAATGGTGTGAAATTACAAGCTGTCCTGTAAGCTTACAGATGCAGAAAAGTGCTATATGGCTGCTCATATGAGCTACATGGCATGTTCATCGATATGGTAATATCACATCAATAATACAGTAATGTATGGATATGGTGATATATCAATAATGGAAAAACAAGTAAGAATCAGAGAAAACGTCATTTATTCTACACCTAAATCATCTACAAAGGAAAAGGAGGACTTCAGATTACTGTTAATAATAGACGAGTACACTCTGCATGCTTTAAACGTTTTAGAATTAAGTTACATTTTGAGTGTCTTGGATTACCCCGTTCCCAGGGGTAATTTGGGTTCCTCCTATTTTGCATCTGGCACTTTACAAATAGCATATGGAATTTTTTTTAAGATGCCATATGGTAGCCCTCGCAAAGAGCTATAAAATGAGCTCAAATTTGTTTATGAAGTGTTTCATGTTGAGAAGTTATTAACAAAAAACCTTCAAAACCGTCCCTTATTACCCTGTTTGACGGTACACATACCATGTATGAAGACGTTGCTTCTAAGCACAACCAATCACAGCTGGAAATCACAATCCAATAAAGATTTATCCAATCCACATGACATCACAATCCAATAAAACAATCACAGCTGGAAAGGGGATGACAACAATTCCATCAACCAATCACAGCAGGAAAGGGGATAACATCTGACATCACAATCCCATCAACCAATTACAGGTTCACAGCTGGAAAGGGATAGGATATGTATATAGGACTGAAATTGTAAAGTTCCTGGCATTTCAAAGCTTTCAGGCCCTGCTTTCCAATATGCTATCTGTACTGGTTAATTTAATATCCCTCTTGAATTCCACAATCCACACTGTCCAGTGGCAACACCAACACGTGTGCAGGCACGTGGACAGAACGGTTTGTGTAGCTTCTCGCTCCTCGCGTTAAATGCTTGTGTAACCTAGTCTGAGGTGAGCTCTATTGATATGACTTGTGATTTGTAGGAGTTAATACAAATAACAAATGAGTATATAGCCACTGGACACATAATTAAGTTGAGGTAATAATTGTACTTCTGCCTGTTCATTACAGGTTTAAGAATTTGATGAATAAAAATCTACTTGTAAAGGATTGTTTGTCTAATGACTTTAGTATCACTTGTTCAAACCTTAGTGGTATCACGCGTTTAAACCAGACTACCAGAGTGATATCCAGTGTGGAATTCTAGAATTTAGAGGGATATTAAATTGACCTGTATGGTACTGATAGCATATTGGAAAGCAGTGGAAAGCGGGACCTAAAAGCTTTCAATATGCTTTGGTTGATGGGATTGCAATGTCGTCCTTTCCAGCTGTGTTTGTTTGTGCCCAAAAGCCCTGCCCCCAAATATGGTATGCGTACTACAGTGCTGGTTAACTTAATACTTGAACTAACTTGACTTAATACTTAACTTGAACATAATTATTATTCATTACAAAGAAAGGGCCTGACATTTTTTCAAAAACCCATTAAATAAAAGAAAAATAAAAAATATCAATCAAACAACAGACAACTTTTTATAAGTGAACTTCCACCTTGGTGGTATCACTCATTTAAACCACAGTGGTAGTATCTCTCGTTTGAGCCTTAGTGGTAGTATCATTTGTTTAAACCATAGTTGTATCACTCATTCATACCATAGTCACATGGTGGTACATATATACCTAGTATATGAATTGATAGAAATTCCAGGGCTTTTAGTCATTATAGTTGGTCTTTGTTTTATGGTTTGACTTTTCCTTATCTTGTTATTCCAGACTGTCCAACACTCCTCCCTGGCGCTGGCCGCTCCCTCATTGCTGACCGGCGACCCAGAAACTTCAGTTTTGAAATCATGGCCACTGCAGAGCACGCAGTCGAGAGCATCAACAGAAACGTGGAATGCATTTCATTCTACATTTCCCAGAAAGACCATTTTGACCAGTATTATGTCACTGCATGGTTTCGCCGCCTTGAGGCACGATTTATTTTGGCTAAAGTGGATGACTCCATTAAAAAATTCCACTATCTTGTTTGGGCACTACCACGAAAGGTTTTAAATGGAATTCCTATAGCTATTTTAAAGTCCAAAGACTATGACAGATTGAAATCTGAACTCATAGCATCATATCCTAGGCTCAGGAAATTGACCTATTAACCCCATAGCTCCTTCATTAGGCTTAGACGATGAATTTACTAAGGAAAAGTCCAGGGAAGCCTTGTTTGGCAAAATCCGTTTATTGCTTTTTGCCTACAAAGGTGATTTGCTTGATGAAATGGCTGCAATTGCCAATACCTTGTCCTCATCTAGATTAGAGGAACCTGATGCTCATCAGATTGCTAACAATAATGGAATGGCATTGGAACGAGTGGTTGTGCAACACCATTGGAAACAAGGCATTGTTGGAACGAATGATTGTGCTTCTGTTGGCCCTGTCAGTGGTACTACCGGCACTGTGTTTGCTACTATTGATTATTCAAGTGAGGCTCTGCCTATAGGTCTTCGTCCATTTCATGCCAATCAACTTCCAAAAGTTTGTCGATATCACATTTTTTTGGCGATAAAGGCAAGTTATGTAAACCATGGTGTATGGTTGCAAATTTTGCAAATTTGAATTCTTCCGCAAAAATTCTACCTAGTTCACGGCCGTCTTCTCGCTCAAGCTCTCCCTCTTCTTGCTCAAGCTCTCGCCGACATTATTTTAATTCGGCGTCCCGTTAATATTGTTCTCATTAATCCCATATGGGTGATTCATTGTGCCACCTGACAACTGTTAATTGGTTATGCTATTCGGCATAGAAGCGCTCTTTAGTGACATGCAGCTACATTAATTTTATCCTATTGCCGCTAAGATAGGATTTGACCTAAGATGGTAGAATGTAAGAAGTGTTTCATGGACAAATGACAGACTGAAACATCATGTATCAACATAGAGGTTACTATCACATCGAATAGTACTGTAGTTGTTAGCAAATATTAGATAACTAATGATGAAAATGATTAGACATGCTGAATCTTGAAGCTATGAGGATCCATTTTAGTTTCTATATAAGGATATGTCGTAATATTAAGAGTATAATTACTTAAGTGTAACGTGTCAGAAAATTAAATTTTCATTAGCTGTGCAAATTTCTGTATAACTTTCATTGAGTGTAATTTTTTGAAAGCTCTAAAAATGAAGGCATTGCCGTGAGCCACCAGTCGAATTCTTCAGTTGCCCCCTGGTGGTGAAACTCAGCCATAGTGTGCAAAAGTTGCACTCATCCTTAGGACCTATAAGCCAAGTATAAACCTGCCGTGTTCCGCGCTGGACTGACCTAATCGTGTTATATTTCTCAAGCATAAAACCATCTGGCTTAACCTGTTCTGTACTCTGCTTTTTCTTCCTACCTCCCAGATCTAATGATAGGATTTACTTGCTGCCGCCTATCCACCTTATGGTACCCACACAGTGAAAGCAGGTTGCCAGCGTGCTGGTTACCTGCTGAGGCTGGCGCCTGAAATTGAAATAAATAGGCCTGGCGCTGGCCTATTCGTACAGGTTTTCACTGTGAATACTTACATTAGTATCCTATGTTCATTCTTGTGGCAGGTTGGAGGAGACGTGCCCGCACAGTCAAACCTGCTTTCACTGTTTGGGTACCTTTACCTTGCTCCGCCTTGCCCCGCCTTTTCACATCCTATGAGGTTAGGTTTGCTTACAGTGGCAAGGCGAGGTATAGAAGTCAGGGCAGATAAGTTCAAGTCCGAGAAATTGAGCATGACAAAAATGCGGCTGTTGACTTCAGGCGCAATGGCTGTAAGCACATGACTTCATAGGTTACGATGCCTTTTGCTATGCTTGCCTGCGGAAAAAATACGTTCTTAAGTGGCTGGCTGGCCTCTTGCACGCACCTACCTGAAATTAAGGTCCTGGAAACGCGTTAATATTTTTGAACCTAAATTTGTGTTTTGTATTTTTGGCAAAATAAACAACTCCACGAGCTCTGCTTGTGGTGTGTTGAAAAGAATCTCTTGCAGTGTCTCATTATTCCTACTCTCGGGAAACTCCTGCATAAAGTTAAGGCATTGGCTAAGGTTAATATGCTGTGATTGTAAACAATCTGAGAAACTGCGCTGCTTTGGTTACTTAGAGGTCAATAGAAGTTTATTCATCGATCTGAAGTACGACGAACGAAGATGGCCTTACTTACCCAATGTTGATTTTTTTTTTTTGCTTGACGTAACATTCCAATAACTGTTACATACAATCACTATATCATGATTCAAAAGTCATGAATTGACTATAATTTTACTTTAAATCTTATCAACATCTATAATTATCAGCACAGTATGTAAAATTAACAGTGTAATTAGCATCTTATCTAGGATCAATTCAATATATGCCAGCTTTTTTAGAAGTTGTAAACCCCTTCATTTATCAGGAATCAAAATTTCACACGCTGAGACAGAAATGCAGAGATACTTCAAAAAAACTCTGACTATCAGAAACTAAAATTCCACACGCCAACCCGTCCTATGAATCTTCAATCGGAGGCAGAAGTCGAATCACCGACATGTGGAACGGCCTCCCCGATAACGTTGGCGCTCCAAGTATAAACGCGTTCAAGAACAGACTAGATAAAGCTATGGAAATATTTATATTCAGACTTGAAATGCCTAGCACAATATCGAACCCGGTGGAAGTATAGTATGTAGCTATTTCAAACTATCGTCAGTCATGAAAAGATCCGGTCAAATGACACGATTTTAGATCTGTGAACAAGGCACGAAAAGGAAAAGAATCTGCGACAGGCCACATCAGGCCTACACTTCAGCGCCGACATCACTATGTTATGTTATGTAGAAATACATAGGTGCATCAGAAATGTATTGATGCCATCGATCTGACTGGAAGCAGAGCAGCTCGAGATATGAACAGACTTTTTCGTACAGACTTACTAGAATTTGAAACAAGAACCAACACCAGGGGCCACAGCTTTAAACTAAAAAAAACTGCGTTGTAACACATCCATGCGACAACATTTCTTCTCGCTTCGAGTCACCGACATGTGGAACAGTCTCCCTGACAGCATCGTTGACGCTCCGAGTATGAACATCTTCAAAAACAGACTAGACGAAGCTATGCAGGAGCATATGGCCTGGGCAGGGTGGCCCAGTGGTTACAGTTCAGAGTACCAAGATTGGCGCAGAGAGGCCCGGGTTCGATCCCAGCTCTGTGCGCCAGTTTCTGGTCAGAATCGGCGAGGAGGCCGGGCGGTTGAGCACAGCAGAATTGCAGCAGTGAGTTGCGAGTTCGAGACCGCAAAATACTGTGAGTGTTCTGCGATGTTAAGAATCGGCGACAGGCCTACGGCCTAGTAAACGCTGAAACCGCTATTCTATTCTATTCATATGTTCAGTCTTAAAATGCCTAGCAAATTACGGACCAGGCAATAAGTCCAGCAGCTATCTCAATCAATCGTCAGTTATGGAAAGATCGGGTTCCAAAGGCCGGATCCCTTGTGAATCAAGTCACGACAGGTTCAAGAATCGGCAACAGGCCATGGGCCTATTCCTTCAACGCCGACACTTCTATTCTATTCTATATGTACAAATAATGAATTTCTCATTTTTGACATCGAACGCGTCGCATTAAATCCGTAGATTACACATAATATATGTATCCTCTACAGAATGACAGCCGCACAATCAAATAAATTAATGGGACATGTTGTCCAAGTAGCAACACTGATACGCCTTTTAGCCGAGCAAAACTCACTCAGGATGACTCCTATACAAGGGGAAGAAGTTCATCGATATTTGGACAACGTCTCGCCATTTTTCTGAGTGTAGTATATGACACATTCGAAGCTCAAATCATGACACGCGCCAGATATTTTTAGCGCTTCTTATTTACAAGCAAATTTTATATGATATACGAAACTTCCATCCAGATTCCCTGCCTTTCATAAGAATGAGGATTTTTATTTCACATAAAGCGATAAAAATTATTGATCAAAGGGCTTTGTCGATTCCTTGAATTTCTAAAAGATATTTGAATCTAGGAACACGCATTCATTGCTAAATCATGAAATCTACGACAGTCCGTTTGGTCGTTCAATGAACAGCTATAAATAACAGCTGGCTGCTTTGTCCGACTGCCATGAATATAGATGAATAAATTAAGTCGTACGATGCTGTTGCTCTCTCTCCACATATTTCTCTCTCGGCTGTAAGTGGAATATTCACGAGAAATCGACTTTTGTTGCTTTAAATTGAATAAATTTCTACGTTTGGGAGAACTTTGAGTTGAATTTAGAAAGTTATGAATACTAATTCTATTTTAGAAAGGATGATGAACTGATACACATGATACACGCACTGAACTGATACACGTGAAATTATAACAGACATTTTGTTGCTTCAAAGTGAATAAATTTCGAGGTTTGGGATAACTTTCGAGTTGAATTTAAAAAGTTATGAATACTAATTCTTTTTTAGAAACGCAGCGATACGTTTAGCTCCCGCCTTTGATTCTCAAACTAGCCCCAAATTTAGTCAATTCAAAGGGAGTCTTCCAGTGCCAACTCTGTTGTGCCAGCAACAGAAGCACTACTCCTTTGTCCTAAATCTCGGTACGCCAGCAATTTCCAGAAAAACTCCAATCTTACATTTATTCAGAGCGCCCCTCTGCTCTGAACGATTACAGGCCCTGTGCTGGCTGTGAGTTTAGGTTAGGACTTTGACTGCTATAATATACATGTCTCCGTTTGTGAGTGTAGGGACCTTAGCTGAATATTCAGGTGTACTGCGGGAAACGGAGGGAGAATAAGAACAATTGTAACTAATGTGTGGGACGTAGAATAAGTTAAGGTGTTGATGATCCCATAGCAGTGTAAGAATTCAGAGCTGACTTGTTGTGGGACCAAAGCAAGGACTATAGTTTAGTGAATTCAGACAACTGCAGAGGTATGTGTAACTGTCGATATTTATCAATATTGTATTTATTTGGTGTGTTGATACTATGTGAGATATCTAGTAGGGAATTATCCGACTAATTGTAAATTTGATTTTGTTCATGTAGGGAGAAGTCAACCTGGATAGAAGATCACAAGAGGTTATCAAGAAGATTCAGTGTTGTGCATATATTATTTGTTGCTGTGTTGTGAGAAACCTCTACTATGCTGTGCCCTAGCATATGAAAGAAGAGAGTTCTGTACCCTATTACGATGCCCATATGTTCGCGTTAACTTGTTCGATTTCTTAATTCAAGTGTTCACTTTTCATTGATATTAAATTAGTTGTGTTAACTTGAGATCATTATTTAACCTCGGCACGAAAGATCATTACAGTGAGACAAATGCCCATATGGCGTGCGGTTGTTAATATGATAGTCCAGAAGTGTTTTAGGCTACGTTCTTGAGGGAAGGGATCATGATAGTCCATTCGAAGCACAGCAGTGGTGGTCTCCGAAGTCCGACAAGCGTCCCTGCGCGCTGACCGAGGCCTGCGCCTAATACCCCCGCCAATTCAACTTTGCCGAGGATACTGACACCTCCCACCCCGATAAGGCCAAGGACACCCTGTCAGACTTGGGAGGTGTACTTCGGCAAATTTGGGCCGAATGGTGTGCCCAGTGCCAAGTGCAAATGAATTGTCTGTTATAATGTTGAAGCTGGCAAAGTTGCATCAAATAAACATGGCTTGCATAAACGTGGCTTGCATAAACGTGGCTTGCATAAACGTGACCTGTATTCTACAGCGTCTTCAACTGGACGTTGACAAAACTTGTGATGTCTACAGCTAGGCTAGGAGGCGTATGACTAACAGAATGTAGAAGCAGGATTTCAGAGAAAATTTCATTATAGAAAGAAAAGCTAGTTATAATAAATTTTAGTTGAAATTTCATAAAAGTTCGAATAAATATGTTCATCAGATGAGTGCTACAACAAAAAAATATTACTCTCTCATTAGGTCGTAATAATATAAGTCGTTGATATGCTGCAGAGTAAGTCTATTTAAAATACAAATCTTCATTTTAGGATGAATGTTCATCCAATGCTGGTCAAATTTTATATTCAAATCAATCTCACGAATCGAGACTAAGAATTTTGTGTTTGATATTTGACATTGGAAATATTTTATTGTAATAAAATAACACATATCAACGAGTAATGTCTTCGAGAACACATATCAACGTGTAATGTCTTCATCCTATGCCTTCATCCTAACGCGACATTGCCATAAAATAATTATCATCGGAAAATAAACGTGAAGTAGTGTTCTCAATTTCATGAACACTTACAAAACAAAACCCATGTTAAATACAAATTAAATATTAGTATTCTTTTTTTCTATATCACGATGCCTCGTTCGAGGATAC